CAGGGATGGGTTTGTTGGTTTTGACCCAGGGGTCTGGGCTAGATGGGATGGAACAAGGGCTGAAGATGAGCATGGGGCGGGGGTGTTTGCTTGTTGTGTCTCACAGGTCACTAAGAAGCTCCCTGTCCCCTCCTTCCCAGGTTTGTGACCCCCGCCCTTGAGGCGCCCTCTTTGTTCATCTGTTGGAAAGGCCTTAGCTCCCCTCTGTAGTGCTGCCCCAGGCATTGCCTGCTGGGCTCCCTCTGCCTCAGCCCAGTGCCCGGCAGGGAAGGGGAGCACATCTGGACCACCGGACAAGGCAGCCCAGGGGCCAGAGCTGGATTTGGAGCGCATCCGCCTGCCAGGGCTCTGGTCCCAGGGTGGGTGGAGTACACCAAGAAGTCTCCATAAACTAAGCTGCCCTGGGCCCTTCACCACTAGCCTCTAGAATGTTCTAGTAGGGCTGGATGGGCCCCCGATCAGATGTCTGCACGAAGCTGCATTAGGGGCGGTTTGTGCCCCATCTCCTGGTGTCCTTCAGTCCATGCAGCCCCCGCTTCCTCCTCTCCCTGGGCTCCCCAGCACGTGAGCCCATCTCCCCCTGCAGTTGGGGGCCGGGCCAGGGCTCCCCCAGCCAGTCTGGGGAGATGAGTGATGCTGACGTGCCCAGAGTGACCCCCTGCAGACCAGAGCAGTGTAAACAGGCTTGGCTCCAGCCCCAGGTGCCGGGGCTCCTCACACCGGCATGCGGGTGACGGCACCCCGTGGGTCCAGGACGCCGGGGGCCATCAGAGTAGCCAGCACCGTCGGGGAGCTGTGTCCTCCCACCTGCCATAGCCCCCCTTAACTTCAAGTTGTGGGAAGGACGTGTGCTGCCCCTCACCCCTGCTCTGCAGATTCCTTGCGAGGGGCTCCCTGGGCAGGGCAATAAAGGGTTTGACTCCAGACGGTGTCTTGTCCTTGTTTTCTACTTTCAGTGGCCCCTCGCCCCTTCAGCTCGTTTCTTCTTGCTGCCCTGGCGGGGGCCCTGATTGCCAAGGCCATGGTTGAGTCCTCGTCCGGTGCCTACCGTGGGCAGAGCTTACAGGGACGTCTGCCTCCCTCAGGTACCTCCTGCCCCAGGCCCAGGTCGTGGGAGCTCCCCACCCCTCCAGATCCATCATCCCAGAGCCTTCTCCTCACGGCAAGTGAGTACGAAACCCTCCCATACTCCCTGTTGGGAAGAACTGGCAGTAGCATTGGGAGGTAGAGCTGTGCAGACCAGCACCTTGGACCTGTCCCCTCAACCAGGGCTGCACAGCCTGGGATAGCCAAGAGGATCACCCCAGCCCCTGGCCTCTGCCATATCCATCAGTCATATTGCCAGGTTTCTCTTGCTGACCCCCAGTAATCAGGTCACTGCCCTGCTCTCCAGCAAGACGGCAGAACTTGCTCGTTTCTGGTCCTTTGCTTTCCACCTGTTGAAAAAGTAGTCCTCCTTTCCAAGACTTGGCTTCAAAGCCTCTTCCTTGGTGACGTCTTTCCTAACCTTGCTCTATGGCGTGTGTCATTTTAGTTGAACTAGCAAAGGATTTGGTCTCTGAATCCTGAGGGTCTTTTGTGTTCATCCTGACAGCTGCCTTGAGCACAGCCCTAGCGGCTGGCCCCCAGGGCCCTGGAGGGGTCTATCAGCTCATCCCAGACCCTGCAGAGCTGGGGTTTCTCCAGGGCAAGACAGAGGAGCCCCCTCCCTTCTTCATAGCAATTCCATTTTCAAAAATCCCTTTAGCATATTGGGATCCATCGGAGGGTCATTTGCGGGGAGAAGGAGTTCCAGTATGGAGAACAACCACAGCAGGATGGACAGACAAAAGTAGTAAGGCCTGCTCCCGCCCAGCAGAACTTTAAATTAGCCTTGGGGAAACAGGACATGAAGAGGTGGCTGAATGCTTACTGTGTGCTAGGCCTCGTAATGAAGTGTCATTTATCCTCACCACAGCGCAGTGAGGCTGGTGCTGTCGTCCCCATTTTACAGATGAAGTGAGCACAGAGGGCTAAAGTGGTTTGTTCAAGGGCACAGAGGTAGGAAGAGTGGAACCACATTCAAGCCCAGTAGCCTACTTCCTCAGAACCACCCTGTGGCTGGAGCGCAAGGGGTAAAGCAGGGAGGGGCTGTTCTCCAAAGGACTGGCTACTGTGACCAAAGAGAAGGGAGAATGGATGCTGGAGGCAAGCCAGGGGACACTCCTAGCAGCAGTCCCAGGAGATAGCTGCCGTCGCTGCCCTTGTTTTATAAAGGCAGAGGGTGAGGCTTACAGAGTTTGTCACTGATCCAAGTCCACGGGGGACCATGTGGCAGAGCCAGAAGTTTAAGCCCGACCTGTTGGCCTCCAGGCCCCTGCCTCTTCACCTAAGTGCAGTAACAGCCTGGAGGCAGGGGAGCCTGAGGAGGGGCGGTGGTAAGTAGGGAGAGCACTCCTGCGGCTGGGGACTGGGGAGCACCAATGGAAGCAGAGTCTTTGGGTAAGGATGTGGGAGACAAGGACGTCAGAGCCACACTTACAGGCGCGGGGGTCTGGGGGTCAGGCTGAGGAGTAGGGCGGCCCAAGGGTTAGTCAAAGTGTCTAAGGGAGGCTGGGCTGGTTGGGAGCACTTTTGTGAACGAGCCAGAGGGACACCCTGTGTCTGCCGGCACCTTCCAGAGCTGAGGAATGATGGATAAAAGTAGGGCACCGAAAGGCCCCTCTGACAGCCTTGCATAGGCAGGACTAGAGGGGCTGAATGGAGGCCAGGAGACAGGGAGGTGGAGGGTTCAAGAAGAGGTTGGGCCGGTCCTGACACCTGGGCAGTGGGGGAGCAGCAGCGATGGGGGACAGCTGGGGACGGGAGGGGGGCAGTCTGGGTGCTGGCAGCAGGCAGCAGGCGGTCGGGGGGTGTTCACAATGGTGGGAACTTGGAAATAAGAGATTTGGTTGGGGGTGGAGGATACAGAGTTAGGGGACAGTGCAGCTGGGCTGGGGCCAGCGCTGCCAGGGAGGCACATGTGGACAGGGATGGGCAGTGGTTGTCAAAATGGACTGTTGGAGAGGGGCCACCTGGTACCTTCTCTGTGCTGGCCAGGCACTTTCTGGTCCCTTGGAGTATGCTCTTCACACCTCCGCCCATAGTTTGCATAGGAGGAAATCGCAGCTCAGCATGGTTGAGACACCTGCTTAAGATCACACAGTGGCAGAGGAGGAACTCTACTGGGGTCGTCTGACTGAAGTCTGTAATCCTTCCTTGACCCTGCTTCTTAGAAAGATTTCTAAACTTGCTTCCAAAGCAAGTTCCTATCAGCAACTCAGCAGGCCTGGTGGGGCAGCCGCCCATCCTACAGATGAGGCCACCGAGGCTCTGAGGGGTTGGTGCCTGCCCAGCTCACAGGAGGTACAGAATAAGTCTGCAGGGGAGCTGGGGCCAAGCCCCAGGTGTCTCCCACCCACCAAATCAGCTCCGGGTTCTCTGAAAGCTGAGGCTTGGGTGCGCCCGCAGGGTGCCAGGAGTCCAGGCCCGGTTTTGCATCAGGCCCTGCTCAGAAGGTGTTTCCTCCTTCTCGGGGCAGCTCCTCTGGGCTACTGGTTGAGTCAGCCTTAGTCCCTTTCTGCTCTGCTCCCCAAGTTCAGCTCGGAAACTCAGCTGCCAGGAGTGCAGGAGAGCCCAGGTCACCCTGTGAAGGTGTCTGATCCATACTGGACCCCTACAGGTAACACACCTCAGGGCCAGGGTTCCCTGCCAGTGTCCCAAGGAGCAGACACTGCCACCTGGTATCCTGGGTACCCTCTGGGGCCTTGGGGGTTGGGGGAGAGGGGAGTGGGTCTGGGACTAGAACATATTGACCAATGGGTCTGTCCCATAGTATTGAACCGGAGTGGGGAGGACCGGACACTGGATTCTGCCTCTAGAAGGACAGGAACTATAGGGAGGGGGTGCTGCTGGGGACCCTAGGCTCAGATGCCCACAGCGCAGCCCAGGCGGACCTGCAGGACATCCTCCACCGCTATACTCCTACACACGCCCCCCCCGGGGTCCCCGGGGCCCCAGAGCACACAGCACGACACAGCCCAGACACACATCCAGCAGAGGAAGAAGGACACAGGGCACATACCACACCGTGCTGTCACCCAGCAAGTCACTGAACACAGACAACAGTCACCCACGCGGCGTCACGTCGTGACATGGGGCACCGACACACAGGCAGGGATACGATATTCACACCCACAAAACAAACAGCCTCAGAGACTCCACCGGGTGCAGAGCTGTGGGCCGTACTGAGACTCGCAAGGGCACAACAGCACACAGGCAGGGGCCCCGGGCCACAGAAGAGCCCCCCACCGTGCGTGTGCAGCACCCAGCACTTGGAATGCAGCAGATGTTCGGGAAGTATTGCTAATACGGGGCACACAGGCATTCACACAGGATTATACATGGTACTCTGTAAAGACAGCAACCCCAAGCCCGTGGGTTGGGGGGGGCAGCAGAGGGAGAAGGCGCTCTCGGGCTTGGGCACTGACTCAGCAGCGGGCACAAGCCAGGACTCGCCTGCCAGAGAACCCTCTTCCCATCTCAGGCCTGCCTGGTGCCCTGACCTGTCCTGGGAGGGGATGGGAGGGGCAGCAGGGGAGGAGAGACCGCCCAGGGGGCTCAGGCCATGCCTCCGCTCTGGCCACGGCTCAGTCACGGGCCCCTTGCCACGTCCACATGCCCCTCGGAGCTGGGCAAATGTTTTCCTTCCGGAGTCACCGTGGTACCTGAGCAGCCTGAGCCACTTTGCAGCACTTGGCCTCCACCGCCAGATCCAGGTCCTGGGCCAGGGGAAGGGGGAGCATCCATGTGGCCAGAGCGGAGGGGCCCAGGGGCTGCAGGCAAGAGGGCAGGGCTGGCAACAGGGGCATCCCTGGCTGGAGGCCTCAGCGAGAGTGGGTACAGTGGTGACCTCAGCGGGGAGGAAGCGGGGGTGTGGGCTGGGGAGGAGGTTGCCTCAGACAGGAAGGCCAAATGGGCCAGGGCAGGGTGGAGGTGAAGGGTGGAGGGAGGGAACCCATATTGGGAGGTTCCCAGGGAGGGGGCGGTGAGCAGATAGGCGTGTGTGCCTGTGTGTCTGGGCGTGTGTGTGTGTGTGTGCCTTCCCCATGTGTGTACAGGAGTATGTCTGCATTCAATTCAACTTCGACCAACTGTCTGTTGTGGGCAACATATGGGCTTTTGGGGTGAGGTCCTGTCCCTGTCTTCAGGGAGCTCACAATCCAGTTGGTGGAGGGGCAATGTGCGTGCAAAAGTCAGTGTGATTTGTGTGTATCTCGGGTCATGTTCTTGCCCCGAGTTATACATTCTGTGGGGCCTCGTGTGCAGGTTTCAGAATATGTCAGGCACATCCCCTGGTGTGGGCATGGGTCTGGGACTAAGACCGCATAGGGTCCTTGGTGGGGGATGGGTGCGCATGCGTCTATCTCTGTAGGTATTGGTGCACCCATGTGATCAGGTGGCCATCTCACTGTGGATGCACATCTTCAAGTGTGTCTGTATGTCCGTGAGCCAGTGTGTGCGCGGGTCCATGGGTCCATGGGTGTATTTCATGCCACCCTGAGCTCAGCCTTCCTGGAGTCGTACGGTGCCCACCACCTGGGCATATATTTGGGCAGAAAAGAGCAGCCAGCTCCAGGATGTGCCCTGTATTTGGGCAGGGCTTGACCTGCCCCCTTGATCCGCCCCCAGGTCGACATGTGTGCCCAGCTGGGGCACTGCCCAAGCTGATGCCCCAGAGGGGCCACCCATCTCAAGTGGGGCTCCGGGCCCTGCCCGGCCTCCTCATGGCGCACGAGCCACAGCCTGAGGCTGATGGATTGTTGGACCTCAGCTTCCTGACAGACGAGGAGCAGGAGGCCATTGCCGACGTCCTGAAGCGAGATGCCCACCTTCGCCAGTTGGAGGAGGGCCGGGTCAGGTGAGGCAGGGCAGGGGAGCCTGGGAGGATGGGGCCTCGGGCACTGGGAGCCCAATTGCGCCCCTGCTGCCTCCCAATGTGTGGCCTGTCAGATATGTGGGTGGTTCCTGTTTTTGCCCATTGGTCACTTCCGCCCTTAACCAGCGCAGCTCTCCACCTCACCCAAGGTGGCTGCACCAGCTCCCTGACCAGCCTTCCTGCCTCCAGGCTTGCCCTCTCTGACCCACTGGTCATGCTGCAGCTGGAGCTCCCCAGATCTGTCCTTAATATCCCCTGCTGAAGGGCGCCTGGGTGGCTCAGTCGTTAAGCGTCTGCCTTCAGCTCAGGTCATGATCCCAGGGTCCTGGGATCGAGTCCCGCATTGGGCTCCCCGCTCAGCGGAAAGCCTGCTTCTCCCTCTCCCACTCCCTCTGCTTGTGTTCCTGCTCTCGCTATCTCTCTCTCTGTCAAATAAATAAATAAAATCTTTAAAAAAAAAATATCCCCTGCTGAAAACGCCCATGGTTCCTTAGCACCTCGTGTCAGGGGCAAGCTCCTAAGTGCGGTCCACAAAGCCTCCCTGATTAGTTCCTGCCAGCCTCCCCGGTCTCATCCTCCACCAGTAACCCCCGCCCCTGACGCACATACCCACAGTGTCCACTGGAGCCACTCAAGGGCTTCAGAGTCCCTGAACACACCCTTCACTTCTATGCTGTTCCTTCTTCCTGGAAGAGCACAGTGGCTGAGGAGCATGGGACTTACAAGTAGTGTTTGGGGACAGACAGACACCTCTTAGCTATGTAACCTTGGGCAACTCACCTGACCTCCCCTGCACCACTCTCCTCATCTGTAAAATGGGGCTAAGGAGCACTAGCTCATAGAATTAGGAGGAGGAATTATGCACAGTAGTCACTTAATGAATAATAATCATTCTCCTTCTCTGCCTGGAGAACTTCAAGTTGTCCCCCAAGAAGCAATTCAAATGTCACCTCCTCTGGGAAGCCCCCCTAGATTCCCACAGGTAAAGCTGGCCCTTCTCACATCCATCATGGCACCCACCTCATTATAGTATACTTGTCTATTCTGGATCCAGTTTCCCCATCAACCTGAGCTCCTTGATCCCGAGTCAGGATTGAGTCTGATTTGCTGTTGTGTCCCTGGCCCCAGGTACAGGGCCTGGCACAGAGTGGGTGGCAGGAATGTTGGTTGGGTGACAGCCACGCCCTCCCCCATCCTCCAGCAAGCTTCGGGCCTCGCTGGCAGACCCTGGGCAGCTGAAGATCCTCACGGGAGACTGGTTCCAGGAAGCACGCTCACAACGGCACCACCATGCCCACCTTGGCTCTGATCTTGTCCGAGCCTCTATCCGCAGAAAGAAGAGCTCCATGGGTAAGAGGAGATCCCCCAGGGTCAGGCTGGCTTCATACAGCCCAGGGCACTGGGTGTGCATGGACAGGAAGAGAGGGCCCCTGGTACTGTGTGTCTTTGGGTGGGCACCACCCTTCCACGAGCTCCGGGAGGTGAGTGAGCATCTCCAAAGGCCAGACTTCCTGAGACCAAGGTTCACAGAACTTCTCACCTGGCCACAGGAGACCAGGCTCCAGGCAGCGATGGGGAGGCTGAAGCTGCTGAGAAAGAAGCTGAAGAGGAGCTGGAGCCCAGGTGAGGAGGCCTGGCAGGGAGGGGAGGGTGTCTACCAGTCCCCTGGGGGCCTATCCCCTGACAATCACTTCTCCCTTCTCTTAGGCTCCCCATGGACAAGGCACCCCAAGAGATGCTCAGCAAGGCTGAGGTGAGTCATGAGTGACTGAATGAGCTAAGGAATGAGCCTATAATGCCCCTGAAGCGGAGGTGGGATGGGAGACTCAGGAGACTCAGGTCTGGGCCGCGTCACCCTTCTCTGTCAAATGGGGATATGGACCTGGCCTCTAAGGGAATCTCAGAATCTGGCTCTTAGGGGTGGTGGGGGACTGAGCTGGGTGAGGTTCAGGACTCAGATACTACTGTCTGCCACCAGTGGGACCCTGGGAGTCAGGCAGGGCAGGCCCTGATGCGGGAGGGGGTGTGCCCTGCAGGGCTCACTGGTCCTGCAGCTGGTTAGTTGGTTGCCAGCCCCGCCTACAGGGCTGTGCTAAATCCATCTGGGGTAGCCAGCTGGAGCCTCTGGCCTCTGACCCCACTGTGACCTTTGACTCCTTCATCATTAGTCCCCACTGTGACCTCTACCCCTTGCTTCTTTCAGAAACCTGATTTCCCCTCACCATATGTCCCCCTAAAGGCTTCAGATCATGAGGAAGAGCCCCAGGCCCAGGAAGGTGAGTGGGTGTAAGTTGGGGACCCCAGAGAGGTTTTGGGGGCCAGAGTCGTCTCTAAGTGACCCCAACCACCTGTGTTCACCTTCCTTCACCTTCTAACTCTCTCCATGATGCATGAGTATGCGCGCGCGTGTGTACGTATACGTGTGTGTACGTGTGTGTGTGTGTGTGTGTGTGTGTGTGTGTAGTCTCAGGGGCTTCCCACTTCAGCACTGGGGCCTGAATCTGCAGGTCCCCGGGGTGGCAAACCAGTCCCTCCAAATTTGCTTAGGGGCAGGCGGGAGAGGGCCACGCTCAGTAGCTTCTGCCCCACCCCAGCCCCGGGATCCGGGGACTCGCAGGCCTTTGCAGAGGAGGCGGACCCGGAGCCGGAGCCGCGGTCGCGGGGAGCGGTGTCGCCGCCACCCCCAGCCCAGGTAGGCGGGAGCGGCCCGCGGCTGCTCCCAAGACCCGGAGCGGATTCTGGGCGGGGAGTGCCCCTACCCCGGGCTGAGAGCCGTCGGGGGAGGGGCTGGGAAGGAGAGGACGGCCCGTCACTTCCCCCCACCTACCCAGACCCAGACGGCGCCCGAGATCCTGGAGAACGGGGAGGAGGCTCCGGGGCCCGGCCCCTCACTCGACCGCATGCTCAGCAGCAGCTCCTCGGTGTCCAGCCTCAACTCCTCCACGGTGAGGGGTGAGGGCTAGGGCCTGGGGACGGAGGAGATGGGTGGGGGATGCTTACCCCCCCGCCCCCGCCGACCTTATCCCCGCGCGGAGCCCCGGCCTGACCCCTCCCTTGCCCCCTGATCTGAGCACCTCCCCTTCCCCCCTCCCCCGGCCCGGACCTGAGCCCTGCACCCCCGCCCTGACCTCCACCCCCGCCCGCAGCTGAGCGGCAGCCAGCTGAGCCTGTCTGGGGAGGCTGAGGCGGGCGCTGTGCAGGTGCGCGGCTCGGTGCACTTCGCGCTGCGCTACGAGCCGGGCACCGCCGACCTGCGCGTGCACGTGATCCAGTGCCAGGGCCTGGCGGCCGCGCGACGCCACCGCTCCGACCCGTGAGTGCCCGACCCGCTCTCACCGCCCCACCCCAGCACCCTTCTTGGCCTGTCTTCCTGGTCTTCAAAATGGGAGTATCAACGTCCTTGGGAGGCGTGGGGATTGAGTGAGAAAACTCCTGGGAAGCCCTGCACGGAAACTGTGCTCTGGGCTGGGGCTGGGGAGGCCCCCGGGGGCTGGGGAGGTAGGAGCTGGGAGGCCCCCCCCCCCCATTAAGCTCGGGTCCTCCCCTGGCCTCCCACGCTCCAGCTACGTCAAAAGCTACCTCCTCCCGGATAAGCAGAGCAAGCGCAAGACGGCGGTGAGGAAACGGAATCTGAACCCGGTCTTCAACGAGACTCTGAGGGTGAGGCTGCGATGACCGGGCGGCCCCCCATTAATGAACGGGACGCCCCTTCCTGCGGGGGCCGGCTGGCAGGGGCAGCCAGAGTATGGTCGTTGCCCGTCGCTCCGATCCTCCGTTGTGCGGGAGGAACGGCCGGGAGGCCCTCCGTCCATGCGTTCTCCTGTGGGTCGGTGTAGTGCTGGGCATGGCGCTAGTCCAGACCCCCATGAAGGCCCTTCGGGGCCCCCCCGGATTCCCTCGTGCAAGGAGCGCGGTAGGACAAGCCCCCGTCCACACTCCCGCAGCGCTGAAGCCCGGGCCAGCCGCCGTGGTCCGTTAAAGCGCCCCTCCTGTCCCCAGTACTCCGTCCCGCAGGCCGAGCTCCGGGGCCGCGTGCTGAGCCTGTCCGTGTGGCACCACGAAAGCCTGGGTCGCAACATCTTTCTGGGCGAAGTCGAAGTGCCTCTCGCCACGTGGGACTGGGACTCTGAGCCCACGTGGCTCCCCCTGCAGCCCCGGGTGAGGCAGCCCGTCCGAGTGGGGAGACCCCTCGGCGCAGGTGTCCCGCCCGCACCCCACCGCGCTTTCCCCCAGCCCCCTCAGACTCCGCCTTCGACCGAGCCTCCCCTCGGCTGAGCCTCCCCTCGGCCTCGCAACCGTACTGCCCCGGCGGCCGGTTTGGTCCTCCGAGCTAGCCGCGCCCCATCGGAGTCTGGAGACCCCACCCCTTTGACGGCCCGTTTCCCTGGAACCTGCTCCCGCCCCTGACCCGGCCGCCTCTCGCCTCTCGCAGGTCCCGCTCTCTCCCGACCACCTCCCCAGCCGCGGGCTGCTCTCCCTGTCCCTCAAGTACGTCCCCGCCGGCTCCGAGGGTGAGTGACCGCCCCGCGAGAGGCCACGCTGGACGGGCCCTGGGAGGAGGGGGCCACCGGTCCCGCGAGGGCATGGGGTGGCGGGGCCTGAGCTGAGCCTCTCCGCAGGCGCGGGACTGCCCCCCAGCGGGGAGCTGCACTTCTGGGTGAAGGAGGCTCAGGACATCGTGCCGAGGCGCTCAGGAACCCTGGATACCTACGTACAGTGGTGAGGGGCATCGGGACCTCCCGGCTTCCCTTCCTACCCTGCCCCCCCCCCACCGCCAACACTCTCTGGAGCTCCCCACCTCCGATAAATCCCTCCTAATCAACCACCCTTGATTCCCCCTCCCCCCCAAGTCTGATCTTTGACCACTGTGCAGGGGTGAAGGGGACAACTTGAGCAAAAACCTGGAGTCAGGAAAGTTAAAGACATCCTTGAGGAGCTGCATTTCAGAGTGACAAGCCATAGGACTTGGAGAGCTGAGGCTGGGACCTGGGAGGTCACAGGGGCTCTTCCATGAAAAGAGCTGGAAGGCCAGGCTGTGGCGCTTGGCCCTGAACTTGCAGTCCATAGGACTTGGAGAGCTGAGGCTGGGACCTGGGAGGTCACAGGGGCTCTTCCATGAAAAGAGCTGGAAGGCCAGGCTGTGGGGCTTGGCCCTGAACTTGCAGTTCAGTGGTTTTCAAAGTAAGCTCTGGGGGACCTCTAGGGGTGCCTCCAGGTGCTACCCCACACTCAGAGAGTGAAATGAAGTTAGAGGGATCAGGTTTTAAATTCCCAGCCCTGATTCCACACACAGACATTGTTTTGCTTTTACTTCTGAGTAGTATTTTATCTTGCAGAAAGGGTTCTGAGGCTTTAAAGTTTGGCAACTACTTCTGGGGGCAACAGGGAGCCAATGAAGGTCATTGTACAGGGAAGTAGCAGAACTGTATTTCAGAGACATTACTCTGGGGTCCTGTGAATAAGAGTTGTAACTTTAAAAACAAGAGGCCTGAGAGGTGGCTGGCCCAAAGGTCCACGAGTAGTGAAGGTCTGAGGCCAGGTCCCAGGTGGGAGCCAGAGGGCATGGACATTGTGAGGGAGAATGAGTAGGATTTGGTGACTGGTTGGTTCTTGGGGGTGTGAGGGGATGGCCACTTGATTGCCAGCTCACCTCCCCCACAGTTCAGTGCTGCCTGATGACAGCCGGGCCAGCCGCCAACGGACAAGGGTGGTACGACGCAGCCTCAGCCCTGTGTTCAACCACACCATGGTTTATGATGGCTTCGGGCCTGCTGACCTGCGCCAGGCCTGTGCTGAGCTCTCCCTCTGGGACCATGGGGCCCTGGCCAGCCGCCAGCTGGGGGGCACACGCCTCAGCCTGGGCACCGGTGAGTGGGGCAGGGCCCTGGGGAGACCTGATGCTGAGAGACAGGGGCTCAGTGTGTGGCCTTGGGCGGGCACTTCTCCGCCCTTTCTTGAGCTTTGGTGTCCACTGAGAACTGGGAGTGGCACTGCATAATCTGGGACCCGGCAGGTATTCCTTGGGACCTAGGGTGTCCGGTGTGACCATGCCCTTCACCCCTGTCTGCACATGTCCAGGCAGCAGCTATGGGCTCCGGGTGCCCTGGATGGACTCCACACCGGAGGAAAGGCAGCTGTGGCAGACACTCCTGGAGCGACCGTGTGAGTGGGTGGATGGCCTTCTGCCCCTCAGAACCAACCTGGTCCCCAGGACATAGCTGCCCTACAAGCCCCACCAAGCTCCTCTCTGAACCCCCATCTCTGGGCCTGCCCTTGGCTGAAACCAATAAAGTCTCTTCTAAGGGCAGCAACGGGCTGAGGTCTGTTTCTGGGCGGCGAGGGTGATGGCAGGAAAGGCTGAGGGAAGTGAAGGGAACAGGTGAAGGAACTTTAGACTCAGACAGAAAGACCTTAGGGAGCTGGTCCCAGGACCGCCCCCCTCCCCGCCCCCCATACTTCAGAAGTTGCCAAGGCCCAAGTGTACAAAGGTGTTCTGTTTAATAGTCTGTGCCTGGTGGTATCTGATGATAGGCTTGGGGCATCTCTGTGGTTGATTCCCCCCATTGGGGCTAGGCCTGGGCCCTACCCTGCCCCCACCCGCCTGGCCTTCTCCAGTTGGCCCTGAGTCCTGGGGTGGGGGTAGCAGAAGCTGCTTGTGTCTTCTCCATTCATCCATCCTTGGGTCCTGCCTCCCGTCTCTGAGCTCTCATTCAGCCTCCTGCCGGCCATGGGTAACTGGTGTGGATCCTGCTCGCTGTGCCAAGACGGCTCTCCAGATGCGGCATACCATCCCTCCCCTGGGGAGAGCAGGCTCAGTGTGGCTCAGCCAGAATAAGGCCCTGGACTCTCTGTTACCCCACTGTCTGCCTGATGTAGCTGGGGGGTCAGGATCTGGCCACCATGGAGCCATATGCATGGGTCATCCCTGGAGGGCTCAGGACATACCTGATGCGGGTGTAGATGAGGTCATCTCGGGTGGCACAGGTCAGTAGGGTACGGAGGGTGAAGCTGTGGTTCAGCAGCTGGTTGTGGATAAAGACCCGGATGCAGAAACAGTGGAAAAGAAAATCAGAGGAAGATGTGTCCAGAGACCCAGGTTCTAGCTCTGTTCTGCTACCAATATGCTACAGGGCAGGTAACACCCCTCAGGGGCCTGTTTTCTCATCTGTACCATGGGGGGGGGGGGGGGGCGGGTACACTAAGTGCTCTTCCAGTACTGAGATTCTCTGCATCAGGGAAAGAGTGAGAAGAGCTGAAAGATGGGCAGAGACGCAGTCTTTGGTGGGTGGGGGTCAAGCGTGGCCAGCACTCTCCCCCTCACCATTTGGATGGTGCCTGAATCCACATTCAGTCCTTGTAGCCACTGCACCAGGCCCTGGTCCACCGTGAGAGCAGCTGTGGAGGAGAAGTCAGGTGGTCAATGCAGGGGTACCTCCGGGCAGAAGCTGTCTCGCACTTGCCGTGAATGTTCCCCAGCCAGGTCCCACTCACCTGGGGGCTCAGGGGCCAGGGCGCAGGTCCCGGCCTCCCCGTTCACCCGCTGTAGAGTTTGCTGCACCAGGGCCTGGCACTCCCGTTCTTTCTCAGCCAGGACATCTCGGAGCCTGTTGGAGAGCGCAGAGGCTGGGCCAGTAGAACGGAGTGCGGGTGGGGAGGGAGGGTGAAGCTGGCCCAGAGGCCAGGGGCAAGTCCCAGGGGCTTTACCTGTCAGTCTCTGCTCGCAAGAGGCCCAGCTGCACCACTGGGGTTGGGGGTGCTTGCGCTGGTTTCCCCGGGAGCCGGCTGAGCTGGACCAAGGTCTCCTGCTGCTTGGACTGGGGTTCCTCTTCTTTACTCGACTCCTCTGACCTCGGTGGGACCTCCTCCGTCTCCACCTCTGCCAACCCAAGTGATTGGGTGAGCTGTGGCGGGGAGAGAACTCCCATTTGGGACACCCCCCCAAACACCCGGCAGAGGGCGCAAGGCTCTGGGTACCCAGCCGCTCCTTCCCGCCCCTGTCGCGGCTAACCCCCACCAACCACGCCCCCTAGCGGCGTCCGGTGTGCACGTCACGCCCGCAAGGGGGTCACACCCTCGCCCTCGGGCAAACCAGCTCCACTCCCCGCTTTACCTGGGCCCAACACAGCCAGGGCTGCCCGCACCGCTCGGCTGAGCAGCGAGTCCAGCACGAACATCCAGTGTGGGCGGATCTGGCGCCGGCGAAGGATCTGCTTCACCTGGAGAGGGAGAAAGGGCGCGGCGAGCCTCAGAGGTGGGGAAAGAGTTGGAAAGACCTAGAAAGTCTTGCGCCAGAGGCAAGTCGGGTAGGCGGGTTTGGGACAGAGGGAGGAGCTGGGAAACTAGGATTGGGTTGATGTCCCTTTGCCGATGGCTGTATCTTCCTGTGGGAGACATGCAAACTTGCAACATCAAGTCCTTGTACAGTGCCAGGCACAGGGAGCTCACTACGTCTTATTGGGCAGCCTGAACCGCAAGAAAGCTCCCTCACCGCGTCTGGGAAAGCGAAGAGAGGTCCGTGCAGAAGCGCAGGCCCGAGGCCTTGGGCCCGCAGCTGCCCCTGCAGCGCCCGCAGCTCCTGGGCCAGCTGCCGGCGGTTGGGAGTGTGGATGTGCGCCCCGAGGCAGCGCAGTAGCTGTTCCACATGATTCCTGCTCAGCCAGGGCCCCTGCGGAGGAAGAGGGGTTGTCAGTGGGTGGGCTCCCACCTGAGTCAAGAGAGCTGCGGGCGGGGGCGGGGGGGGGGGGGGGGAGCGGTGGGTGGAGGCGTGCGGGAGGCCATCAGCCGGCTTCCTGGCGGGTGCGGCCGGCACCCACCTGCTCCTGCTCCTGGCACAGGCTGCCGGCCAGCGCGGGCAGCTCCTCCTCCAGCACGGCGGCCAGCATGGCCCGGCGCTTGCTCTCCTGGTGCAGCAGGCTCAGCCCGCAGCTCTCCTCAGGGCACGTGGGCTCCTCGGCCCCAGCTTCCTCGGGCACCCTAGTGCAATGGGGGGCTGCGGCTGGACGCGGGTGGCAACACGGGCCGGCCGCCTCCACCCCAGGCTTTGAATCCTGGCTCCTACTTTGTCGCCTACCTCACACGGGACAAGGCAGAGAAGCCTGGCGCTGAGGCGGCACAATACTTACAAGTCGGAGCATCTGGGAGGAGGCACCCGATGCCATCCTCGCAAGTGGCTGGAGGTGCCCAGGCCCCCAAAGGGGACTTTTTCCGGAGGAAGTACAGGGGCGACCCCAGATGAGGCAAAGCCACTCCAAGACCCTGGGCTCTCACCGGAGCTGGCTGGTGTCTCCATAACTGAGGCAGCGCTTCGGGGGACTGGGTGGGTGCTGAAAGGGTGCCTGAGGGCGTGGGAATGTCTGGGGCTGGGTGGTCAGGTCAGCTGAAGGAGTGGGGCTGGCTGAAGGGGCATCTGAGGGAGGGACGAGGCCGTCAGCCCGGGCCCCCCCCATTCAGCCCCCTCCCTCACCCCAGTGCACCCACTCCCTCCACCTGCATGTTACCTGAGGGCCGCAGTGCATGTCGGGGGGAGCCGGGGCTGCAGCTTCTCTTCCCGGGCTGCAGGAAGGGGTCCCCCAGCAGTGCTGGAGCGCTGGCTCGGAGGCGGGGGTCTGGCTCAAAAGTTCGGAGAAGGAAGGCTTGGGCCTCCGCTGACAGAGAAGTGGGCACTGGTGGATGCACCTTGTACATGCCCACCTGGGAGGGGTCAGGGAGGACAGACAAAGGTCAAGTTTCGAGGTGTTCAGGGCTCGGTCTGTCCCCACCCCACCTCATGAGCCAGGCCGTGAGGGGTCTCACCTGAAACATGGCAGCCTGCGGGCTCCCTAGCTCATGGAAGGGTGGCCGACCTGTGGCCATCTCGATAACAGTGCAGCCCAGTGACCAGATGTCAGCTGCCTTCCCGTACCCTCGTGGGCCCTGGTCAATGATTTCTGGCGCCATGTACTGTAGGGTCCCTGGGGCAAGAGAGGTAGCCACAATGCTCACCTAGGCTTGAGATGATGCGGGGCTGGCAGGGGCTCTCATCCTCTAGCCACCGCACCCACCCTGAACTCTGTCATCCAAACAATTCCCATCACCTATCCTGGTGGTCAAACATCTATCCTGAGTTTCCTCACTCATCTTGGGCTCCATCACATTCCGACTTCCTCACCCACAGTAGTGGATCCTGGACAGCATCATCCCCTCTGAACCCAATCACACACTTTTGCCTGCATCGACACTTCCAGGCTGCATTTCAGGCACTAAATTCACCATCATCAGCTACTCAAGCTCCAGTTCTAGATTCTATCACCTCACCCCTGGCTCAATCACCCGCCCTTGGTTCCGTGCCCCATTAGGGCTCTAACTCCATGGCCAGAAAAACACCATTCCCTGGAAGTCCTAAGAATTCTTCTGTCCCAGGTCAGCATCTCCACTCCCCACCCCACACCCCATTACCTGTGAAGGTCTCAGTGCAAGGTGTGATGCCTGCCAGCCTCTTGGAGGTGCCAAAGTCAGAAATCTTGAGCAGCCCACTGAAGGTGTTGATCAGCACATTGTCCCCCTGAGTAGAGTGGACCTTGTGCTCAGTGGACATCAGGCTGGGCTCCTGATGGCAGAACTGGACCCTATCCCTGGATCCCATCTTCTACAATCGCAGCCTGACCCTGCCTCTATCAGCGTCCTCCCTCTGCCATCCCACTTATGATGGGTGCTGGGAGCTGGGAGCTGGCGCCTGATTCGGCTTCAGGTCTGAAGTTCTCTCCCTCCCTAGGGAGCCTCCTTGATGAATTCCCCACCCTTTGCAAAGGGGTCGGCCTTCTTAATGTAAATTGCCAGTCTCTGTCTAGACCCATATGTCCTTCTCTCCCCCCTCCACCAGCTGCAGGCCTTACCTTGATGTCTCGATGCACTATGCGGTTGTCATGCAGATAGCTGAGTCCCTGCAGGATCTGGCGGGTGTAGAAACTGATGGTGCTCTCATTGTCCTGCAGGGGTCCCCACACTGACCGCAGCAAGGAGGACAGGCTGCCTGGCAGACACAATCCAAGATCATCACTGGCACCCCCTTACTCCAGCCTTCAGCTCTCTGCTCAAGGCCCAGGCACACTCATGCCATGACCCAGACTCCATCACCACCCAGTGCACTGTGTCAGCTAATTCTGGGCTACCCCACCCACACACGCTAGGACCCATTTTCCCCGAGGGTTCCCCACCCCTGCATGGCCCCATCCCCCTGCCCCACACTTCCAGTTCCACTGCCAGCCCACACAGGGCACGTACCTCCGGGCACTTCCTCCATGAAGATCTTGAGGTAGCCGCCCTGGCTGGTGGAGCCC